TTTTTAATAATAAAGCTTCATAATCTGAAATTTTAATTTCTATATAACTTAACAAGTGTCTGAGGATATTTTAGAAATATGAGAATCTTTATCTATTCCATCCAATATAGTATCAAAATGAACTTCATCTTGAAAATTCTTTTATTAAAATTGATCTTTTGGTTTTCTCTCTTTATTTTTTAAAATAAAGATTAATCTTTATAAAATGTGATTTTTCTCATCAGAAGTAGCTATAAAACTTTCTTTTTATTATTGTTGTTGTTGTTTTTGCATCTTCTCTCAATATTTCAACTTAAATATAATAATATATATTTCTAATAGAAAATTGATGATAATAATAGAATTAATATTATATATATATATATACAATTTAATAATACAAAGAGATTGCTAATTTAATAACAATTAAATTATATATTAAATAAAATATATTCAATACTCTTTTCACCAAGTTCTTTTTATTTACTCTTTTCAATTCAATTCACAACTTTATTACTTCTTTGAGCTATTACATAAACATAAATCATATCGCTCAAATAATATTCAATAAAAAGAATTATTTAATTTAATATTATGAATAAATTGTTGTTGCTTTCCTTAATTATTTCAATATCTTTGGCATCTCTTGATGACTAAGATCTCATTTAGAAATATTCCATCAAAATACATCAAAGAGGTAGCCATGCCAATTATCCAGAGAAAGGTGACCAAGTCAAGGTGCATTATACAGTAATATTAATTGAATACCTAAGGGTAAATTGCTTGATGGCACTAAATTCGATAGTAGCAAGGATAGAAATTAACCATTCGATTTCAGAGTAGGAGTAGGTTAAGTTATTAAATGCTGGGATGATGTTGTTTTAAATTTAACACTTGGTGATAAGGTTACAGTGATATGCCCATCTGATACAGCATATGGAAATAGAGGAGCAGGAAGAGTCATTCCACCAAACTCAGATTTATAATTTGACATTGAAATGCTTGGATTTAGGGATTAAGAATTATGATGAATAATTATTGATGCAAATAAAATAAAGAGTATTTTTACACAAATATATAATTTATCGAAAATTTCATCGATTAAATAATAATTACTTTGATCATTTTATTCAATTTTGCGTATATTTAGATTTGTTTATTAAAATAGCAGCTAAAACTAGCAGTCTTATTACTAAATTAGAATAAATTATTGTGAATCTAATCTATAGGAAAGGATTTAATTTGATTAATGATATTAATGTAGGATTTTAATATTATTCAAACACTGCTTTATCATGTATGTATACCTATGAGTTCTGTTTAATATTTATTGCAAAAATATCTGACACTATGTAAACCTAAAAGCTTAGGAGGATTTTATATAATTTTCAACCTGCGCATCTGCATTTCATTTCAAATGAATTTGTACACTGCTGTAAGTTTAGGTGGGTTATAAGTACATTTCAGGAGAAGTATTTAAATTTAATATGATAAGTAATACGTATTTGTGATTTCAAAGATTTATGAAATTGATTATTTAGATTATTATTAAAGTCAAGATTTCATTCAATTTCATAGATCAAAAATCATAACTTATTTTACACAATAACTATATCTTTTATTCAAAATCAGAAGTAATCTATCATAATTCATCAATATAATTTTGAACTCTTAATGTTTGGTTACCCTTTTTTGAACCTATAGTTCCCCTCCGAAATAAAGTATTATAATTTTTAAAAATTCCTTTTTCCCTTAAAGCTTTTAGCCTCTTAACTATAATTTTGAACTTTAATTTCTTGTATATTTCAGATTGACATTTCTACAATTTTTCTTATAAAAACACTAAAAAGATATTTATAATTTATCAGGTTAATGTAAGCCATTCTGTTGAATAGCTGGACAAATCTCTATTGCTCTAGAAGGTCTTGATGAATAAGTAATAAAATGTTTAAAACCACGCCAAAGGATAAATTACAGAATTTGGCCATGGTGAACTTGTACTAGAAATAAGTTTAGAAGGATCAATTATTTCCTATATTTTGAAATTAGAAATAACCTTATTGGAATATGAAAATAAAGAAACCAATTAAATTTAAAATTTTGAAACAAATGTTGAAAATCTTCAGGGGTGCAAAATATTTTTGATGATATATCGTAGAAATAATAAAAGATAACTTAATAGTGAAGTAAAAATAAAAAAAAATCTTTAGAAGACTCGATAAATTTTACCTTCTTGTTACAATTTATAAAGGGAAGTTTTGAATTTTTCCCATTTGAAATTGCTAAACAATATATATTTAAGAATTTAATATTTAAAATAATAAATTGCATATAAAAAATGATTATTGTTTATTAAATGTTCAGGAGTTTGGTATGAGGAATAAAGCTCCAAGGTTTAAGTGTTGATTTGTTAATTATATTAAAAAGAAATTAATTTTATTTTGTCATTTTAATTGAAAGTATAAACTTTACGAGAATGTTATTATATATTTAAAATTAAGATCATGCAAAATATGGAAATAGAATTCCAATAATCTCCTGTCTTAAATAATGGAGATGAGAAGAAGAAAAATAATTATATTCATATTCCAGTTTATGATGTGAAACCAACTTAGAATTACCCAAACTCCGAATAAAAAGTGGAGTCAGATGAATAACTAGTTTAAATAGATGAGCGATGGTATGCTAAGAACGAAAACTACAAGCCATTATCAGCAGATCAAAGACCTGGGTTTATCAGAAAAGTATTTATTCATATAATATTAAACAAGGTTTACAGTATAATGATATTGTAATTAATATTGACAGTTGTAGCTTGCTGCTTCTCTTATTTCTGTATTCCATATCGAGATTTTCAAAATGATCATTCAGGTTGGGTTTATTTGGCAATCGCAATAGCAATTATCATTGAATTGATTTTATTGTGGATACCCAAATATTCATGGAGAGTACCTCACAATTACTTGTTTCTCTTTGTTTTCACACTTGCTGAAAGTTATGTTATTTCTCAACTTTGTAGTTACGTTTTCAACAAATATAGTGAAGAAGGAGGTATACTGAATTCTAAATTAGGATTTATTGTTTTGATGGCTGCAGCCCTTACTCTAGCTGCTGTGATTGGACTTACTCTTTATGCATGCAAAACAAAAAAAGATTTCACTACTAAAGGTATTTATAATAAAAGTTTATTCAAGGGGCATTCTTATTTATGGCAAGTACATCTCTATTTCTTTTCGCAATATTGTCAGGAGTGTATTATGATCAAGCAATGAGTTTACTCTATTCATTGATTTCCAGCTTACTCTTTGGAGTCTACCTAATATATGATACTCAATTAATAATTGGAGGAAGTGTAATCAATATATTTCATGTAGACTCACAAATTATCAATTGATGACTACATTATTGGTGCCATGTTCATATACATCGATATTGTATATCTATTTGCTCACATTGTTTTAATTATTGTAGCATGTTTCAGATGAAAAACAAGAATGAAACTTCATATTCATTACAATTTATTATGATATCTTTTTTTACCTACTTAATCTAACAGTTTTTAAATAAATAAATCAAATTGATATAAACAAATCAAACATCTGTTTTAACTATTTTTTGTTTTCTCTCATCATCATTGCATATATATTCACTTGATTTCGATATCATTTATTTTCAATTCATTAATTTACTTTACACTTCTATCAATCTATCTATTTCAGCACAATGTAAAATTATTCGAATTAATATAATCAAAATCTATTTATTATTATTTGAATATTTCATTCATCCTATCCTATTCGATTGTTAACAGAGTCAATTTCTGTTTACAATCATTCTGTTTTTGATATCTGTCTCTTATTACTATTTTTTTTCAATAATTTATTATTAATTCTCCTTATTTTGAAAATCAAGTCTCTTTTACTTTTCTTTCTATTATAATTTAACAGTAAAGAATTATGAGCTTTATATAATTATTCTTAATCCTTTTGTTACTTGACTAAAGTACAATTATTGAACTTTTTTATTTTCTATTCCAACCTTTTTTTCCAAATTAAAAAAATATAAAGTTAAGCCTTTCCACTACCAACCCAATTATTCATCATTTATTTTACTGTTTGAATTTTCCTTCTCACAAACAAGAAACCTTAATTTGCATTCTAACTATTTGATTGTGTATTATAATTATTAAATTACTTATAATTGCTAATTTATTAATTAATATTAACTTTAGATCAACACCTCCTTTTAAACTATCATTTTATTCGCATTAGCTAATTTATTTTCTAATTGAAATTCCTTTCGAATCGTTGGGATAAATTTTTAACTAAATTTCATAGTCTTAATTTTAATAATTACATCCCTTTTCCTCTATTGTTTGAGTCTTAATCTATGATTCTTTTAATTCACTCGTTTAAGTTCCACACTATCAAAAAACACATAACTTCAAACTAATGTTTGACATTGCAACTTCTGCCAGAACTATAGATTAATAATTTAACTATAAAATGCTCTAAATATTAATCAACAGAGAAATTTTCTAGTACTTTAGCAAGTATTTAACTTTGTATCTAAGTTTGAATTGTGATTATCAAATGGTATTTTAGCGTTTTAGATAGTTTAACCGCTAAATATTTATAAATTGTATATTAAAATTTAATAGTAACAAAGAATATGATTAAATGTTTTATATCCTCAATAACTTGAATGACGGAAATTGAATCTCAAATAAAATAAAGCTTAGTTCTTTTTATATCTATTCGTTAAACTTTTAGCTAGTCCTATCAACATTGTAAAACTAATAAATAAAATCTTTATTTTCATATTGGTAATATTACTTTAAATGGACATTAGAAATGGCACATGCATATTTTATATAATTAAGAATGTTTGATAAAGATAAGGAATAAGAGATATGGAAATTTAAAAGGTGTATACATATTAAAGAGGGTGGACATGATGGATATATTCAAGAGTGAAACATTCTTAGTTAAGAAAGCAACAACAGAATTCAGTTATTACTTATGATATATCTGCATTGTTCATTAGATAATCGGTAGTTGATAATTCTGCTTTTTTGAATATTAATAGAATAAATTAGCATCTTAAATTGATTGAAAAAGAGGAGAAGAAGAAATATGTTTTCAACACGATGAATTTATATTTTTTTATGTTATGGTAATGGGTTTTCTTAGCAGCTCTAATAAAGGGCGCAAAAAGAGGAGCCTTGAAACGAAAAATTTCCTTAATGAAGGCTGTTAATTATTACAGATGAATTCCAGCTCTTCTGTTTGACCATTGAAGACTAACAAAATTTATTTTCTAATTTCTTATTAAACCTCCTTTTCCGATCCTAAAAAATATAGGGCCATAGTTAAAACAATATCTGATTTACTGAGCCTGCAGCAAACATAGTGATAAACATGAAACATATTTTGAAAATCAGGACTTAGAATTCTTTTTATTATTTTAAGTAATCATCAAAAGAGATATCCATATAAGCGCATAATAGTTATTTTCTTTTTTTTTTATGATAATAAACCAAATTCTCTCACTCCAAAATATGCTAATTTAATATTCACATAAAATTTATTCATTTTCATTCTCAAAACTATGTTATTAAATCAATCATAATCTCTGTTGTAATTATATACTGAAGAGAGTTTTAATTATTATTTCACTTGACTTTTTTAAGAACTTTAACACATTAGATTTGTCCTCCTACTCTAATTTCTCAAATACAAATTTGGTTTATTACTGGAATTCTTGATTTCAATATTTTAATTTTTCAATTCCAAATGTCTTGACTATTAAATCACTTTATTGTTTAACTTTTTAAGGTTCACCAAAAAATATGGAGGTTGAAGATAGTTTTTTAAAATAATGTGAATTATGTATTACAATTCTGCCTCGTCTTCATACCGAAATTGCGATTTTTGCTAGATTTTATCCAAATACAAGTATCTGACTTTACAATATTCTAGAACCATGATCTTGGTACAACATTATTTATTTGATCAACTCTTCCTTTTATTTACTTGCAAATTAAATATATTAATTTTGAATTTTAAGTTCTAAATAAAAACTATGTTTATAAATTTGTAAAAATGAAAGCTTGTTATTAGAGTAGCAAGTTAATAGTCCATAGTTAAAAAAGCAAAAAATAACTCCAATTTTATCAAAGTTCTTGGTATGGTGTAGGTATACATCTTAAATCAATTTTTTAGCATAACAGACTTTTTGGAATTCTTAGCCTTGGGATTCTCCTAATACAAATAATACTGCAGAATTTTATGATAATCAAATTATAATTGACATCAAACATACATGCTCAACAAACCAAAATTAATAAAGGAGATAGCAAGGTTAATATTTTACCAAATTAAAAGTTTATCACTACACATAGTATTGTTAATTTTAGTAGGAATTATAATAAATGGAGACAACCGTAGAAAAGAAGAAGGAATTTAAGGAGTATTTGCAAAGGCTTTAAAATTATTTACTTTGAAAATTAATAAAAATTGATGATAAAGAGATCAAAGAAGTAATAAAGTTGTGAATTGAATTGAAAAGAGTAAATAAAAAGAACTTGGTGAAAAGAGTATTGAATATATTTTATTTAATATATAATTTAATTGTTATTAAATTAGCAATCTCTTTGTATTATTAAATTGTATATATATATATATAATATTAATTCTATTATTATCATCAATTTTCTATTAGAAATATATATTATTATATTTAAGTTGAAATATTTGAGAGAAGATGCAAAAACAACAACAACAATAATAAAAAGAAAGTTTTATAGCTACTTCTGATGAGAAAAATCACATTTTATAAAGATTAATCTTTATTTTAAAAAATAAAGAGAGAAAACCAAAAGATCAATTTTAATAAAAGAATTTTCAAGATGAAGTTCATTTTGATACTATATTGGATGGAATAGATAAAGATTCTCATATTTCTAAAATATCCTCAGACACTTGTTTAAGTTATATAGAAATTAAGATTTCAGATTATGAAGCTTTATTATTAAAAAGTCTTCTTGAAAACTTATAAAGAGAAGTTAAAGAAGCTTAATCATAACTTTCTATTTATGAAAAGAATGGTAAAGGATAATCAGACTTACAAAATCAATAAGTTTCTTATGTAATTGAATAAAAGAGAAATGTAAAATCAGATGTTATTAAACCTAACATTCCTGAAGATTCTGAGGAAGATATAATTTTTTAGGATTAGATACCTAATAAAAAGAGTTAAAAATTCATAAATAAACAATAAATATTAGAAAGTCTTAAGAATATGAGAAACACATATAATAAGCGTCTTTAAGATCTTAAGGATACAAAATAGACTAATAATAGCTTTGCCAAAATAAAGAAATTAAAAGATAAAACTCCTAAATTTATAATGAATTAATAAGAAAATCATAAAGATTTAATAAAATTATTGGAATTTAGATAAATAATAAATGAAATTCAATCAATGTTTTAACAATATGATTAAGAAATTGAAGGAATAATTTGATCAATTCTATAACTAATGTATTAATATAAGTAATTTTACAATATATATTACAAATAATATACATTTAATTTCTTATTTTTTCATTTATTTGATTAATAGTTATACAATAAGTATATTCATTTTCAGACAGTTGGATAAATACAAAAGAAAAAACAATTTTAGGAATTACTAATATTTAAATTGAAAATCTTTTTGAAATCAAATTTTATTTTTAAGTTAATTCTACATAAATCGAACTCATCTATATTTTTAATATCTATATATTTTTATTGATAATTCTCATATATTTAATTACATAAGTATTATGATAATAATAAATTATAAATTAGTAAAACTTTACAGGAATTAGTTTGTGGAATTCTAGAAAAAGGTTAAGAGCCTTAAAATTAATACCCAAGAACGACATTAAATTAGAATAATCATTGTAAGATTAAAATTTATAGAATAATTTTATTAAAAAATGAAATGAAGTGCTTAAAAGATCACAATATAATTTTTAAATGAAATCACCAAGAATAATGCAATCATTTTAATTATATAAGTTATAATAATACTGTAGATAAATTTTCCAATTCAAAATAATTACAAATTGTGAGTCGAATGTTAAATAACTAAAAAAAAGTTAATGCTAATCAAACCATATTCAAATTTTAAAGGTTAAATGATAAATTAATCTAACAACCTATTATATCAAAATTTGTATCCAAAATTTATAATAAAATCGTCAACTGCAGGATTCGAACCTGCGCGGGTAAACCCAATAGATTTCTAATCTACCGCCATAACCACTCGGCCAAGCTGACTTGTATGTAAGTATTTATCTTCAAAATTATAACAATTAAAAATAATAATCAAATTTTTTAACATTAGTATCTTTTTTATAGTAAAATCTATATTATTAGTTTAGAATTAACATATCACTAAATTATACCTCAAATATTTCTTTGAATTTGAAGTTGATTTTAAATCAAAAGAATAGGGTGAATTAATATATTTTATAAATATGACATTCTATAAATAGATGAGCATTTAAATTAAATAAATTTAATATATATTAGAACTAAGAGATATAAACAATGAAAAGCCCAATCTCCTTTGTGTATTTTTCTCTCCTGTTAATAACAATTAGTAGGTCTTAACTAATTTATAGTAATTTTCACGGAACTTTTACATCTGCAAGCTTTGGTATGTTATTGTTATATTAAGATTGGAATATTTACTAA